ATGTATTTACTGTATATTGCTGCTGCCACACAGATCTAAAATAAACATGCAATTTATTTCCCAGCAGTTTACCTTCACAGACATAACCGACTGTTTTTGAAACTCATGTGTGTTTTTAACGTTAACTTGTGTGTGAATGAGAACTTAGTTTAGTTCTCACATGCTGTGAGAGCCGCTTTCTGTGCGTGTGCTTCAGATGTGTGCACTCAGAAAACCATATATCAGAAGTTTAAACTCATATGGTTTAAACCGATTGATTTCAGCACGATAAACATGATAATCAGAACCAAAACAGATGTTTTTAGCAGGTCCGAGCTGTAATGGCGCAGCTCAATTCTGGAAAAGGGGGCGGGGAGCAGCAGCTCATTTGCATTTAAAGAGACAGGCCCGAAAAACAGCGTGTTTCTGCTTCCACTCAAAATAGGCATTTTCAAAATTATGTAATAAATGATCTGTGGAGTATTTTGAGCTGAAACTTCACAGACACATTCTGGGGACATCAGAGACTTATATTACATATTGTAAAAAGGGGCATAATATGACTCCTTTAAGATGATTTGTGGAAGGACGTACAAAAAATACGATAGTACTACATGGTTTTGGACATTCAGTAATCACCTTAAAAACGACGAAAATGTACCTTAGTACTGCCGTCGCTTTATCGTGTGACAGCTGTGCAACAGTTTGTATTTTCATGAGTAATGAGTATCTTTATCTCTTTTTTTCTCTGACTTTCTCTCTGTAGTGCCCACAGTGCCCCCTACTACGCCCACTTCCTCCACCACGCCATCAGATGAGTGTGATGATGACCAGGCCAACTGCCATAGTGGAACAGGTGATGACTACGACCAGACAGGTGCTAACACCCGCCTGCAGAGACTGCACCCTTACTACACTATGCTAATCCTATTAAACTAACTGCCTCCCTTGCTTCGGCAAATATCAGCCCTTCTACCCTTTTTTGGGAATCACTCCTCACACTATGACCCTAATCGTTTCTTTGCCCATAACCACACTAACCATGCTACTCCTACTAGAAGAGAAGTATACTGTGCATGGTATGCAAACGTTCTGTATGCATCTAATATTGAAATAAACTACTACATTTGCCAAATGCGCTTTACTTGACCTTCCGTTTCATTACAAAAGCCAGACAGGGATGAATGAACGGCGGGCGGTATCAAATGCAATATCAACTTCTACTTTGTGGACTGCCAAAAGTTAAGATCGTTTTATACAAAATTGGATTAAAAATTTATATTTACTGTATTTAGTTCTGCGATGGTAACTGGATGCCTAGCACTACTGTAAAACTGCAATGTAGCAAGGTCATGTTACAACATTGCAGCATACTACAGTTTAAATAGTCCATTATCGTTGAATACTACACTGCTTCACGTGCAATATATTTAAAAATGTAAGCAGTATACAGTATATACTGTGTAGTATGCATCATTCACTATGTACATACTAAGATCATGTATATATCAACTGCTGCTTAAATGTCTAAATTTACTGTTTGATTACTACATACTGCTTTAGTTAAAGGAAATAGTATGCAGAATACAGTATATACTGTGTAACATATAGCATGCAGTATGTTATTATTCCATTTCACTGTTCATACTGTCTCACATACAATAAAAAAAATGCTGGTATTAAACAGTAACAGTACTAAACAGTATGTAGTATACAGTAATGTAGTACTCCATTCCAACCTAGCTTGCACTTACCTTGGTATTCATGTTTGACTGTTAAAGTTTCTTCTGCTCTCCAGTTGCTAATACTAACACTCCATTAACAATTCTGCCTCTAATCTCCTCTGTGTTCACTTCCAAGGAAATAGTATGCAGAATACAGTATATACTGTGTAGCATATAGCATGCAGTATGTTATTATTCCATTTCACTGTTCATACTGTCTCACATACAATAAAAAAAAATGCTGGTATTAAACAGTAACAGTACTAAACAGTATGTAGTATACAGTAATGTAGTACTCCATTCCAACCTAGCTTGCACTTACCTTGGTATTCATGTTTGACTGTTAAAGTTTATTCTGCTCTCCAGTTGCTAATACTAACACTCCATTAACAATTCTGCCTCTAATCTCCTCTGTGTTCACTTCAGTGCAGTCTCACAGAGTGTGTGTTGCACAGAATTACACTCCCCTCTGCTAAATGATAAAAGTAAAGGTTCCACATGAACAGAAACGTATTCGCATGTCTCATCTGGCAAAGCTCGTTTTAAAAATGCTAAGCAAATACAAAGAGGGGAATTAGCACAGTCAGATTCTTGCCTCCCGATAATATCCAAATAAAATATTAGCCAGTGTCTCACTTTAACTTTTCACCTAATGGCCTTCACTGTGTCCACACTACAGGTGGAACCATTGCGCCAGAGACGACCACAGAGATGAGCACCGTTCCAGGTGAGAAAGGTACTTGCCTCTAATTCTATCCGTAATATCTTTAATTATCCATGATTTTCTTTAATTGTGCTAATGCTTACTCCCTTAAAGGTACGGCGTGTCATTTTTGCAATGTTAGCATTTCCCAGAACACTAAGTGAAAATAACAGTATTTTATAGTGATATGCTATTTACACTAAGTGAATATAGCTATAGATAGTTAAAATAGCAGGATATTCTTATTGCAAATAGTGTTAATTATCTGCACCTCAGCATTGTAATACATTATAAAACAGTGTGCAATAATGCCCTCCCTACACCTAACCTTACCCGATACTTTATTTTCAACTTTTTGATTATTTCCTTCATTTTTATTAAAAATAAATGCTTTTCTGATGTGATTTGAAATTTGAAAAGGGGGAAAAAAAGTTAGCCAAAAGGCAGATTCGAACCCAGGTCAATCGCGTCAAAAGGAGTATGACACATGCTTTACCATCTGCACCACAGAATCTGACAATATGACCGTCTTTTGTAATGTTGACTATCCCAATCACAGGTTGGTGGGCGGAGTTAGTATAAATAGCTTCTGCCAACAAGGCGGGCTATTTGCACTTAGTGTAAATAAACACTCCGATTTTTTTTTATTCCCAACAGTTAAAGAGTTGCCCACAGAAATAAACAGCACCCCCACTTCCCGCGCCTATGTATGTCAGTCCAACATGAGTTTGGTGTAGGACTACCTGTTTTTCTGAACAACAGAAAAAATAAATTATGTATTTGAGGAGGGCCAGTAGCAATTTTCTTCAGAAAATCATAATAATAAAATTTTTTGCAATTCTGTTTGATGTCGCTAGCAGCACAGAAATTACGCACTGCACCTTTAAGTAAGAACATTCTCATTGTATGTTTTCTTTGTTCTCTGTTTGGTTGTAGAGGCTATTTGATTATTAGTGTGTAAACTCAAAGATGAGTATGTAATCTCATTTCTGAAGTGTTCTTGTGAAAATCTATAATGAGCCCCTCTGATTTGCTAATTCAGCATAGTGACTGATTAGCCATTCAAGACTGCTCACTAATGGACAAATGAGAAATGCCCCTTAACTGACCTTGTCTAATTAGCCTGTGTGTGTGTGTGTGTGTGTGTGTGTGTGTGTGTGTGTCTGTTTGGCCCTGGCTGAGGCTCATCACTACAGCAAAACAACTGAATAGATTGAAGGTCCTAATAAGCATGTGTCCTTGTGTGTGTGTGTGTGTGGTCTTGGTTGGTTAACATTGAGTAGATGTGTGTGCTTTCTATTATTGGATGTGGTTTATTTGCTATGACAAGCATTCAAAACTGGTAGAACGTTCTGGACTGTGGTGAAACGTATCCTTGCACTGTCTTCCACTGCGACAGCCCAAATCCATTTAAAGATGGAAAAGAAGAAATAACTTTTAATTGGAAACTGGCATTTTTTTGAAGCGGCAGTGGCTGCGTGCCTGAGCTGCGGCTTTTAATGGGAAATTCTTTCCTTCGCATTCAGTGAGCAAATACCCTGCGAAACTCGTGGAGAATCCTGGCATTATTCAGGGAGCGGAGCGCTTGGCTTTATTAAACTGTCTAGAAAAGCAGCGCTGAGGCTGTGCAGGCTCCGGCATAGCTGACACCCTAGACGTGCTTCTGCTTTTCTGTCCGTCTCAATTCTCTCTGCTTTCCCTGCTGTCTCTCTCTTTGGCTTTCTATCTCTCACTCAATCTAACATCGTTAAATCCCTCCCTCCTTCTTTCATGTCAATCTCAATTTCAAAGCTTCATTGTTTTGTGTGTTCTGTATTCTCGCTCAAGATCTAGCTATATTTGTAGTATGAATGTGGATTTGGCTTAGGCAGGACAGAATTTGGAATGGATTTGGAAATGCTCATGCTTAAATGTTGGTGTTTTCTGATTGTTAAATAACTCTTTATTGCCATCAAGTGGACAGCAGACATAAAACATTGCTTTGGCCCTGTGTGGAGTCTTCAGAGCATTCAAATGTTATTATATACACAACTGTTCACAAATTTAGGGTCAGTAAGATTTTTTATTTTATTTATTTATTTTATTTGTTATTCATTCATTCATTTATTTATTTTGAGAGAGAGAGAGAGAGAAATTAACATCTTTATTCAAAAAGGTTTTAATGAAATTGATCAAAAGTGACAGTAAAGACATTTATAACGTTACAAAAGCTGTCACTCTTTTAAAAGGTACTAATATGTACTCTTTAGGTATGAATATGAACCTTTAATATAATAATATGCATCTTTTAGGAGTAAATAAGGTACAAAAGACTACATTTTGAAAAGGTTCCATCCCAGTGACAGTTTTTGTACCTTTTTTTCTGAGCGTGTTCAAATAAATGCTGTTCTTTTGGACTTTCTATTCATTAAAGAATCCTGGAAAAAAAATATATAATGGTTTCCACAGAAATATTGTGCAGCACGACTGTGTTCAACATTGATAATAATCAGAAATGTTTCTGGAGCAGCAGATCAGCATATTATACTGATTTCTGAAGATCATGTGACACTGAAGACTGGAGGAATGATGCTGAAAATACAGCTGCGCATCACAGAAATACATTACAGTTTAACAGATAATCACACAGAACACAGTTATTTTAAATTGTAAACATATTTCACAATATTGCTGTTTTTACTGTATTTTTAATCAAATAAATTCAGTCTTGGTGAGGAAAAGAGACAGTTTTCAAATACATTAAAGCATCTATCCAACCCCAAACCTTTGAATGGTGGTGTACATGTTTTTTTTCATAATATTTACTAATATATTATAGTTGTTGTAGTATATTAAAATGCATTCATGTAAATAAAATCATAGTAATATTAATTGTGTTATTAAATATAAAAAGTAATCGTTCTAAAATATAAATAATATTCTCTGTGTGTGTGTGTGTGTGTGTCACTGCTTTAGTAATATAAAAGTGCATATGTTAATAATCTTTCCCGATGTGTGTGTGTGTGTGTGTGTGTGTTCTCTCTGTAGCGTTCCTGTGGTTTGCCTGTGACTTTGGCTGGGCCAGTGATCCTTCATTCTGTGGCTGGATGTCAGAGGACAGCGGTTTCAGGTGGCAGATCCAGTCCAGCGGCACCCCGACTCTAAACACCGGCCCAAACATGGACCACACTGGTAAGAAAAAAACTGCATCCATTGGCCTTACAGCATGGAAAGTGTGAAACATCCGAACCTCACATTCTTTCTCTCCGTCTGCTGTAGGCGGATCAGGGAACTTCATCTACACGCTGGCAACAGGTGCTCAGGAGACAGAAGTGGCTCGGTTAGTGAGTCCATCCGTGTCGGGCCAGGACTCGGACCTGTGCTTGTCCTTCTGGTATCACATGTTTGGCTCTCACATTGGCACGCTACACATCAAACAGCGCAGAGAAAGCAGCCAGGGCTCAGCTGATGTCCTGCTCTGGACGGTCAGCGGTCATCAAGGCAACCGCTGGAGGGAGGGCCGCGTGCTCATACCCCACTCCAATAAACCCTACCAGGTACTGAAAGAAGGAGGTGTGTGTGTGTGTGTGTGTGTGTGTGTCTGTCTGTGTCTGTGTGTGTGTGTGTGTGTGTGTGTGCTATTTACATTGATTACATTTTAAATATGTTTCAAATTTAACTTTGGCGTTTATCTTTATTTCAGGTGGTAATTGAAAGCGTAGTGGAGAGGAAGAGTTGGGGAGACATTGCTGTGGATGACATCAAAATCTTAGACAATCTGAACATGGCCGACTGCAAGGGTGGGTCATTTAGACCATTAGAGTGCAAACTACACTGAGACAAATCAAGACTGTGTCATGCATCCTATGGCTTAAGATATCAGATATTTACTAACACTGGGAGTGGTGATAGACCGAAGTCAGGTTAGACACCATATTGAATCGAATGCGGATGAAAATGAGGCTGTGAGGGACAAAATGAGGCTGTTTCCTCCATCGTGTAATTTTCACAACTCCCAACTTTCAACACTGATTTAAGTTTTTTTTTAATTTTTTTGTGTACTTTAACCCCTCACAGCCTCATTTTAATTCCTGTCAAATGTTAAATATGGTGTGACACTGACTAAGGTCTGTGTATTAATATATTTAAATAACGTATTTATAAATCATTACATTTTATAATTCCAGAATTTTCATAATTCAATAACTGGGTTTACACTTTATTGCCAATGAATTTACATTACTTTTTTTAGTCAGTTGTGATTACAGTTTGTTTATTTTTGTTTTGTTTTGTTTTACTATTATGAATTTATTTATTTTCATTTTTATTTTTACTCCTAAATAGCTATTTCTGCCCAATAAAATATTTTAGAGCTTGACAAAACTAAAATAAAATAAAAAATCTATTTATTGCAAAAAAAAAAAAAACGTATTATTTTCTGTTACTTCTAGAAATCTTTTTTTTTTTTCTTCTTCTTCTCTCATATTTCCATATGTTCCAAGACTATGACAACCCTGGTCCTTAAATATAATAGTTAAAATAAGAAATATATTTTGAACTTATAGTTTGATTTTTAGCTGTTGTAGCTTTTAAAGCTTATTTTGTAAAGTCTTATTTTAAATAATTTTAAGCCATATTGTGGCCCTTTGGAAGTGTGCTGAGGCCCCTGGTTAAGAACCCCTCACTTAGATGACAATACTGGACAATATACATTTCCTGACTGTTTTATGCCGTCCATTTATAGACCCAGATGTCCCAGCAGAGCCAATTCTACCTGAGGACAACTTCAATGAAATCAGTAAGTGGCTTTCTCAAATCTGATCCACACAAACACTGAATAAATGTTGGATCACTCACAAAATTAGTTACTAAAGAAGACTGATGAAAATTAGTATTTCTATTTCAGTTTTTCTACTTCACAGTTCCTTGACGTTTCTTTGTGAAACTTACTAGCAATATCTAAATGAAGATTGTTTCTATGCCATTTCTTGTTTCAGTGTGTCATTGAATGTTTGGAGGGACTTCATATCACATTGCATTATACAGCACACATTGGTCAAGTAATCCAGATCATATCAAATCCAAAAGCAATTTCTAATACAGGCTTGCTGATCTGTTCTCTTCCAGTCGTGGACATCACAGACTTCCCTGAGATTGTGGAGAACCACGAGATCAGCGGAGCCGGAAACATGCTGAAGACGCTGGACCCCATCCTCATCACCATCATCGCCATGAGCGCGCTGGGGGTCTTCCTCGGCGCCATCTGCGGCGTGGTCCTCTACTGCGCCTGCTCCCACAGTGCCATGTCCGACAGGAACTTATCCGCCCTGGAAAACTATAACTTTGAGCTAGTGGACGGCGTCAAGTTAAAGAAGGACAAGCTCAACTCACAGAACACGTACTCAGAAGCGTGAGGCGCCGACCAATCAGAGGGAACCTCTCCGCAGGGAGGGCGGGGCTAAAACGGACTGCCGATGCCTTCCGGTTGGAGGAGGACAAGGCTCTGTGGTTCAGCGAACCAATGGGAGGTCTGGGACTGAGCCATGCTTTTCTCAGGAGCCGCAGTGAACGGAACCTACCAGTAGGGGACACTGTGTACAAAACATTGATTACAAGGATTTAAAAGAAACAAAAAACTAAATGAAAAATAAGAATATGTACAGATGATTGTTATTTTAATTTTTTAATTTTATTGTTTTGTATTCTTTTTGGTTGATCATTTTTACAATCGGATGCTGGTGTTGAGACCAATATATAATGATGTTATAAAGTATTTATCTTTTTTTTTTCTAGGAGGAAAAAAAAATCATTTATTTTTTATTTTTAAAGATTGTTTTGAGCTTTAAGGAGGTGTGTAAAAAACAAACAAAAAAACAAATGAACCATATACGGCCAAGGGAAGGTAATTACCCCACGGAAGGGCAAAGATCAAACGGGGTGGAAAATCATCCAGCCCTGTTGCATTCTGGGTATGGTTCAGTCAGTGCCTTTGGTACATCTTTTTTGGCCTCCTCTGTTGTTTTTGTGGTGTTTTCAACCCTTTAGTTCTCAAAAAAGCTTTTTTAATTTTATTGTTTTGTATTCTTTTTGGTTGATCATTTTTACAATCGGATGCTGGTGTTGAGACCAATATATAATGATGTTATAAAGTATTTATCTTTTTTTTTCTAGGAGGAAAAAAAAATCATTTATTTTTTATTTTTAAAGATTGTTTTGAGCTTTAAGGAGATGTGTAAAAAACAAACAAAAAAACAAATGAACCATATACGGCCAAGGGAAGGTAATTACCCCACGGAAGGGCAAAGATCAAACGGGGTGGAAAATCATCCAGCCCTGTTGCATTCTGGGTATGGTTCAGTCAGTGCCTTTGGTACATCTTTTTTGGCCTCCTCTGTTGTTTTTGTGGTGTTTTCAACCCTTTAGTTCTCAAAAAAGCTGTCGGTCGAATCTGCAAAAAAAATCCCGGTAAATTCATAGCGCTTTAATGTTGAAGTCCTACATATTGTACATAAGTTTTAATATATTTTAATGCCCTTTTCAAAGAAACGAGTAAAAGGACAAAAAAAGAAAGCTGCAGTATCCCTTTTTTCTTGGGTTGTATGTTGTAAATACAATCGTCCGACTGTTTTGTGAAAGTGAAACGTGTGCTTTTTTGGTTCCGTCCTGTTTTGGTTGTTTTGCTACGCTCCCAAAAAATGCAGCCATTGTTCAAAACAGATGTTAATACAAATCCAGCGCGCATTTCATCACGGGAACAGCATTCGCACATACAGTAAATGCATTTCATAGACGTCCGCAGTGGCTCGGTTGAGTTTGGATTACAGATTTATAAGCGAACATCATCATATCCTCTATAATCACATTCAGAATGTCTGTTTTTCCAGCATACCAAAAAAAAGAAGAAAAAATTGATGATCATCATTGCCTTGATCGCTTTGATTTGAAGTGAGCGGCCTACAGTTCAACCCTCACACGCTTCTTTCATCATCCGTCGAGCTTGAATGCATGTGCTCTTGAATAAAACTCATTTTAAGAGTGGTGCTATTAAAAGTTCTCACGCATCGCTTCGCAAGCGTTCTGTCATTGGCCTTGTGTGTGTACCAAAGGACTGTTGCCTCAAACTGCAGGGTCCAATTGCAACAAACCATTCCCTTGAGACCTCTGCTACGATGCATTCTCATGGGTTATCATTCGGTCAACAGTTTGGATTCTGGACAGCTGGATGGATCTGACTTTAGCAACGGCATACACATGCAGTTTAACCGATAACAGGGCTTCACTGCTGACAACACTAATGTTTTCTACAGGTTTCTCGGTATGTTCATGTACTGTGCTGTATAATGTGGCAAACACTTTGGTTTTCCCGTTCCGAATCCTCGTGTCGATGCTACGTGTGTGTCAGCTGAAGCTGGATAAAGGCGACTGGCTCCAGTCGGGATTCTGTGAGAAAGCATACTGTAGCATTAACGAAAAAGAAACAATGTTGCACTGATCAATATATTTGATGAAGTTTATGTGTTTATAGCATTCATTTGTAAAAAAGACAACTGAAATAAAAAGGACAGTGTTCATTTTTTTAATATAGTTTCAGAATATGTAATACGATTCTGAAATGGTCAATTATCGAGATGTTTTCATTATTGAAAAAGGTATACAGATTTCCTATAGTAAAGCTCCCGTTTACCTGACCCCGATTCTCTTTTGCTTTTTGTACTGTCCTTGAAATTTTGTGCTGATTTGTTTTGTTTTTTTTTTACAAGAAGATGCGGAAGCAAAGAAAACTTTTACTTTCAGTACTGCCTCTGTACGTTGCTGTTGTAGGAAGGGGGAAATGAATAAAAACAGCAAGGCCTTAAAATGGATATCAATGTTTTGTATTTGAACATCTGCATCACAGAAGAAAAACTCCTCTGTTTCTGATCAAATCAGATCGACTGACATATTCCAAAGATTTGGCTCCAATAAATGTGTTCTGAAACTTTGGCTCTTTTTATAATTTAGTTTTCTTTTGTTCATTTTTTTAACTATAGATTTTAATCAGAAAGACATGCAAAGAGCATGCACACTCTTAAAAATAAAGGTGCTTCAAAAGGTTCTTCAAGCGATGCCATAGAAGAACCATTTTTGGTTCCACAAAGAACCATTTAGTCAAAGGTTCTTTAAAGAACCATCTCTTTCTTACCTTTTTATAATCTGAAGAACCTTCAGATGTTAAAGGTTCTTTATAGAACCATTTAGAAAAAAAGGTTCTTCTATGGCATCGCGAAGCAGCTTTATTTTTAAGAGTGCAGGTGTAAAGAATGGACATATTGAGCAACTTGATGACAAAACAAGCACTAGCATGTGCTAAAGTGTTTACAGTGTACTTTTGACATATTTACATAATATACATTTACACTTTTTGTGATTTTTAGGGCTTATTTTACACAAAAGAAGAATGGAAAGTATTAAAATGAGGCAGAAAAGTGTCCAGCATCCACCAGCAATATCAGTATATTTCTAACCAGAGGGACTCTGATAGCAATGTCTGTGAACTTACACGCTCTGTCGTGTGTATTGTGTTAATTATTTGATTAGTTATATTACATAAATGATCATTATTTGAAATAATAATGAGCAAATTAAATCTCTGGAGAAAGCTTTTTACTCCAGTCAATATTTCTAGGGGCTTAAAGTTAATTACTGTAGACACCTACTTTAAAAATTGCATTTGAGCATTTAACTGATATTAAAAAAAAAAACTTTTGATAATTGATAATGAACATGTTTTGATACTTTAGCGGGGCATGTCGTCACAAAACAAGTGCACTTAATTGTATTGAATGTGCTAATACTGAATATTACAGAAAATGGTAACATAAGTTTAGGGACCAGTTCTCACAGTTGCTTATTAGCATGCATATTACTAGCATATTGGCTGTTTATTAGTACTTATAAAGCACATATTAATGCCTTATTCTGCATGATCATATTTTAGATCCCTTAATCCACCCCATACCTAAACTGAACAACCTTACTAACTATTAATAAGCAGCAAAGTTTATTGAGGCAGAAGTTGTTGTTAGTTAGCTAATCGTGAGAATTGGTCCCTAAACTAAAGTGTGACCCAGAAAAGATGCTTTATCTTAAAGTGACGTAGTTACACATTGCATGTACTTACTCTATAATAACAGTAAATTATGCATAACTCCAAGTAACTAACCCTAAACCAAACCCTAACCTTTAAACCTAGTACATGCAGTTAGATAATATTACTATTTGTGTAATTACACTGTAACAACATTACCTTAAGCAGCACCATAATATTAATGAAATAAAAGGTCATTTAAGTGTACTTAAAGAGACACTTTCAAGACTAAGTACACTTTTGTGATTGAAATCATTATGTTTGAATATTTTGTCATACTTTAAAGAAGTACACTTATTTTAATGTGTTGACATAAAGCACAAATAAAGTAAACTATAAATATAAATGTCAACGATATTTTAATTTAATTGCAACTGAAAACATTGCATTTGGTTTAAGTGCATTCTTTTAAAGTATATTATTTTAGTAATAAGTACTCTTTTTTTTAAGTATGTCAGGTGTGCTTCCTTTTCACAAGGGTAACCTGCAATGAGAAACTGCTGCTTATTGACACATAAACATAATCAGAAAACACATATGTTTACTGAGATATAGTCTTTGTGACAGCTGGCCCAGCCTCTGGATTGAAACTCTCCTAAGCGTTTCTTTGTGTGTGAAAGCCCCCTGCAGGTGAATGTGCTGCTGAATCCAGCATTAAACCCCAGCTCTCTCTCATTACACAGCAGAGCTCCTCAAGGCTCCAGTTTATCCATCAAAACACAACCAATCACCGGGATGTACAACATGAAGAGAGTCGAGCTGCAAATCGATGCAATCTTTCAGTTAAAACTGCTTTAATCAACAAAAACCGTATATACGCCAGCTCTGGTTACACAAGCTTTGCTTTGAAAACTACACTCTCAAAAATGCTGGGTTAAATACAACCCAGTGCTGGGTAGAATAGAGACAAACCCAGCAATCGGGCTGTTTTGACCCAGCGGTTGGGTTAAATGTTTAACCCAACCTTCTGCGTAGTAACCCAACCGCTGGGTCAAAACAGCCCAATTGCTGGGTTTGTTGTAATTATTATTATTATTGTCTTACTTTTTATTTTATTTTACAGAACAACAGTAACATTACAATACTAACATTTATGAATGTTGGAGTTCTTGCTTTTTCTCAACTTTTATTTTGGCAGAAACGTGCAGGAAGACCTCAATGCTTCTTTTTGTTGACCGCAGATTTATAAATGAGTCTCATTACGAATATGTCACACGTATTGCATTGTCACATGCCTTTGTAAAAATTAATAAAAATGTGACTGAGCAATTAACGAGTAACACTGTTTCAGCGCAGATTTTCCTTGCGCTTTGGACTTTTAACCCTGGTTAACAAGCAGATAGCGCTGTCAGAACACATGCGCGCTGGGTCAAAACAACCCGATTGCTGGGTTTGTCTCTATTTTACCCAGCACTGGGTTGTATTTAACCCAGCATTTTTAGAGTGTATTAGTTCTTCGCTCAGGGACAACACACCAACAGACACACACACAGAAGCATGGGAGATACATGGGTGTTATAAGAAAAGATAAAGCTTCCTCTTTTTTCTTTTCAATTTTGTTGTTTCATGTGCAACGTCGAAAAAATAACATTTAGCAAAATAATTATTTTGAAATATGTAGTTTTAAAGTAAATTCAACAAAAAATGACTTCACATGCTAATGCATTATGGCAGTATATTGGGATCTTGTGATCTTGTGACAGAAGAACGTCTAGGTTACTTGTGTAACCCTCGTTCCCTGAAGGAGGGAACGGAGACGTTACGTCAGTGACTGACGAATTGGGATCTCGCACGAGAGCCCAATCACCTTCGAGTGTTAACTAAACAAGCCAATGACAGTTGGCGTGCGTGCTTCGCCACGCGCAAGGTGGAGGCCGCAGGAGGGCGCCCTCGGCGATGAGCAGACAGAGGGGCTGCAGCCGGCGGTGGGGTGCGCACAGCAGCAGACCGCCGGGGCAGGATGTGTCGGAACGCGTCCGTCTGCTTCTGTGCGGCGGAGAACTGTTGGGCAAAGCCCTAGCTCGAAGCACGCACGCCAACTGTCATTGGCTTGTTTAGTTAACACTCGAAGGTGATTGGGCTCTCGGGCGAGATCCCAATTCGTCAGTCACTGACGTAACGTTGAACGTGACTGACTGAATGGGAACTGAACATTTTAAACCTAAACGGCTGCTGGTCTATCGTACGGCTTATCACTAAACTAAACTAAACTAAACTGAATTACAATCAAATCAAATATCTTCCATCAAACCAATTAACATGCAAAATATTATTTTGTTTAAAATACAAAATAATGAATTTTATAATAAAATAATAATAATGGACCTACATAAGTAATGTTTCTTCCTTTTCAAAATGAGATTTGTTGTTTTAAGGCATGTCATTACAGGTTTTGGTGTTGATTATTATTATTTATTATTATTATACACGTTTTTTAAATGTCTAAATATTTGGGCATGTAAAAATGTTTTCTTTAAAAAAACACACCATTGTCAAATAACATTTAATATGTTTAGTATATAACAGAAACAGAACCGGAATAATCTTCTAAATAAAATAATAATTTTCATATCATTCATAATAAATCTTCAACTGTAAGTCATATGCCACATCTTCATGCTCCGCTCATGATCATGTCACTAAACTTAATGAACACTAGAGGACAGTGTTGTATTCGCAATAGAAATTGCAATCTACTTTTTAATCTAAGCCTTAAAAGCTCTGTTATCTTGAATTTAAAACATCATTATGGACCTTATACATGATAGATAGTATACTAAGCTGTTGTATTTTAATGAGTTAAACTGGGTCAGCAGAACTGAAGCATTTCATCTAAAAATGTGTTCTGGAATCTGAAACAAGCTCAGTTGACTTTACTCCGCCTGACAGTTTAATGAAAACAATATTTATAGTGTTTCATCTTAAAAAGCTGCAAGATTAGTATAGAGTTTCTAGAGTGACTGCTCCACAGCAGACAGTGAAGCGTTTCAGAATTCAGACAGGAATTCATTGTGAAAGCTGCATTGCCTCTTTCTCTTGTGCTTACGTAATCATAGCAACCAAGGTTTTCTGAGTCTGTTTTTTGGTCCATAATTCATTTTAATAATGCAGCCACTCAATGCTTTCAACACGAAGTCTGGTTTCAAACCAGATTTGATTTCATTCTTTTGTATTATTATCTCTCTCTGTGTCAGTTCTCTCCCTTGACTTTCACTTCTCCTCTTTATTTCCTTTTCTTTAGAAGTTGCCACTTTATTTAAAGCTATATTTTACTACAAATCTGCTTTATATTATTTGGTGTAAAAGTGTATGCATGCTAAAACTGCACCATTATAATAAAAAGGCAAGACACAATATTACTTCAGGAAGTCAGAGTGAGACAATGTGGAGGTGACTGTAACCGTGGTCAGCCGATGGTAACACTTCAGCATACAGTGCATATAATAACAGTCATTTTAACCCAGTTGATTCATCATATTATTAGTTTAAATGAATACATTATTTTAATTTACCCCTCAGCGCAGAGACCTCAAACACCGCTGGACTGAAGAGAAATGATTTTTCTCATACATTTTAATAGATGACTACTACATTTCCTTTTGACTTAATGGAGCAGAAAGTTGCCTTAATCGTGTGAGTTTTCTGAATGACGACTGAACGCTTTAAAGAACCGGTTATGACCTTGAATCAGCATCTGGTTTATTGTAATAAAATAAAATGGAAATAAAAAATTTAAATAAAACGTTCACTGGAATAAAATATATAAAACCTTTTTATTTCAGCAACTAAATAACAACTAAAATAACTCAAACTAAAATGGAAAATAGAATTAGTAGTATAATACAATATATATATTATTATACAAGATATATTATAATTATGATATAATTATATACACCATTATAATAAAAAGACAAGACACAATATTACTTCAGGAAGTCAGAGTGAGACAATGTGGAGGTGACTGTAACCGTGGTCAGCCGATGGTAACACTTCAGCATACAGTGCATATAATAACAGTCATTTTAACCCAGTTGATTCATCATATTATTAGTTTAAAATGAATACATTATTTTAATTTACCCCTCAGCGCAGAGACCTCAAACACCGCTGGACTGAAGAGAAATGATTTTTCTCATACATTTTAATAGATGACTACTACATTTCCTTTTGACTTAATGGAGCAGAAAGTTGCCTTAATCGTGTGAGTTTTCTGAATGACGACTGAACGCTTTAAAGAACCGGTTATGACCTTGAATCAGCATCTGGTTTATTGTAATAAAATAAAATGGAAATAAAAAATTTAAATAAAACGTTCACTGGAATAAAATATATAAAACCTTTTTATTTCAGCAACTAAATAACAACTAAAATAACTCAAACTAAAATGGAAAATAGAATTAGTAATATAATTTTCTGAGTCTGTTTTTTGGTCCATAATTCATTTTAATAATGCAGCCACTCAATGCTTTCAACACGAAGTCTGGTTTCAAACCAGATTTGATTTCATTCTTTTGTATTATTATCTCTCTCTGTGTCAGTTCTCTCCCTTGACTTTCACTTCTCCTCTTTATTTCCTTTTCTTTAGAAGTTGCCACTTTATTTAAAGCTATATTTTACTACAAATCTGCTTTATATTATTTGGTGTAAAAGTGTATGCATGCTAAAACTGCACCATTATAATAAAAAGGCAAGACACAATATTACTTCAGGAAGTCAGAGTGAGACAATGTGGAGGTGACTGTAACCGTGGTCAGCCGATGGTAACACTTCAGCATACAGTGCATATAATAACAGTCATTTTAACCCAGTTGATTCATCATATTATTAGTTTAAATGAATACATTATTTTAATTTACCCCTCAGCGCAGAGACCTCAAACACCGCTGGACTGAAGAGAAATGATTTTTCTCATACATTTTAATAGATGACTACTACATTTCCTTTTGACTTAATGGAGCAGAAAGTTGCCTTAATCGTGTGAGTTTTCTGAATGACGACTGAACGCTTTAAAGAACCGGTTATGACCTTGAATCAGCATCTGGTTTATTGTAATAAAATAAAATGGAAATAAAAAATTTAAATAAAACGTTCACTGGAATAAAATATATAAAACCTTTTTATTTCAGCAACTAAATAACAACTAAAATAACTCAAACTAAAATGGAAAATAGAATTAGTAGTATAATACAATATATATATTATTATACAAGATATATTATAATTATGATATAATTATATATAAAATAGTATTTATAATTTCTTAACATTTAGAATTATATGACAAAACACACAACAAAATGACTAAAACTTTAGCTTTTTTAAATTGATGCAAAATATTAATAAAAACTATAATAGTATATCACTGATACTAAAATAACACTGATCAGTACACACAATAACTACTTGTTTCTGAATCTCATAAACGTGGACTCAACAGGGAAATAAATAAATACATCTCTGTTTTATCTCCAATGACAATAACATGCTCAGATTCACTGCAAAGATTTACCTTCTCGTGCTTTTTTAAACCAAATGTATATCAAATAAATAAAATAATATAATGACAATTCATGAAATATAGAGATTACACTTTAATCAATTCTAAACTTTAATTCTAATCCTTAATCACATTTTTTGGGGTTATTTGGTAGCCTACTTAAAGGCTGTTTTTGTGTGTGTGTTTGTTTTTATCAGTGTTGGACTGAGAGGGTTCGAGCTGATGACGTCATGAGGTGTTTCCTGCGGGGCGGGGCCTGAGCTGATGACGTCATGAGGTGTCTCCTGCGGGGCGGGGCCTGAGCTGATGACGTCATGAGGTGTCTCCTGCGGGGCGGGGCCTGTCGGAGGGTCTGCTGACCTCAGCGTTCAGCCTCTTCACAGCAGAGACGCGCAGAATGGACTGTTTGCTGAGATTTGTTTTTGACTGACGGATTTCAGAGAGTCTCTTTTAGGGTTAAAGAGAAACAGAAGGATACACGTTGACAAAAGACCCCTATGAGGCTTCGAAAGTGAAGAGAGAGAACTAGTAATAAAAGCCATAAGGTAAAGTTACCGTCTCAATGCTGGCCGCCGAATGAAAGGACACCGTTTCTTCTAATTCTTAATCACATTTTTTGGGGTTATTTGGTAGCCTACTTAAAGGCTGTTTTTGTGTGTGTGTTTGTTTTTATCAGTGTTGGACTGAGAGGGTTCGTGGCGTCATAAGGCAGAGCTGATGACGTCATGAGGTGTCTCCTGCGGGGCGGGGCCTGAGCTGATGACGTCATGAGGTGTCTCCTGCGGGGCGGGGCCTGAGCTGATGACGTCATGAGGTGTCTCCTGCGGGGCGGGGCCTGTCGGAGGGTCTGCTGACCTCAGCGTTCAGCCTCTTCACAGCAGAGACGCGCAGAATGGACTGTTTGCTGAGATTTGTTTTTGACTGACGGATTTCAGAGAGTCTCTTTTAGGGTTAAAGAGAAACAGAAGGATACACGTTGACAAAAGACCCCTATGAGGCTTCGAAAGTGAAGAGAGAGAACTAGTAATAAAAGCCATAAGGTAAAGTTACCGTCTCAATGCTGGCCGCCGAATGAAAGGACACCGTTTCCACCGAGGCTTTGTATTATCTTCTTTATAGAAGTGATGAAGAGTTTTTTTTTAATCAGATTTAAAGCGAGAAATGTGTGCTAAAGTTGCTTGTGTGGCTCGAGTAGCGGTCCGTGCGCAGATATTGTAGCTGGTTTATAAAAAGAGGTTGTGCTTCTGGTAGGTTAGTCCTAAAGCTGCTCACAGACATCTCTTTGGCAGTTTACAGTGTACTGTTTTTGTAGTTTCTAACACTTTTCTTCTGCAGTTTTGTTGTAGATGTTCCAGCTGTTTTCTATATCAATATACATGCAGCACTACATTTGTTGATAGGGAGAATACTATTTATAAGCATTTTGTGCCTATATACTATTTTCATTTGAGTGGAGGGTTTTATTTAAACTGTTTATGTATTTATTTATGTCTTAGTCTAAGGCAAAAGGGGAGAGCAACGATGGTGTAGGCTATAGAAAGTGTCTAAAAAGTGTCATTCTGCATCAGATCTAGAGCTCGAGCTGTGGGTTTCATGTGCAACTTGATTTGGACTTAATTCTAAGAATCATATTTTTCGATTCACATAGGCTACATTGTAGAAATAAGCCATGCAATAAGAAATAAACAATTAGAAGTGCTCTGCTTGCATGACTATGTAATGAAGTTTCCTAAGAAAGCAGATGAGCAAATTCATCTAACCGCTATCCAGTATTTAAACACAAGCCATGCATGGTGTTGATCTGGACTTTACCGTACAGAATGACTGTCTACTGTATCTACAGACGTTTCTCCTTTTACTGTATGACTAGGGTACATATTGGACACAAATGGAAACATGAGTGAGAGAAACACACACACACACACACAAAGACATTTGTCATGGTTTCTGTTTAAAATCAGTTTCTCAAATATGACCAAAGCAAGTTTGTTTCCTAAAGCTGACATGTTCTTTTGAAATGTCAATACGAAACAGACTGCATTGATTAATTGGACGCAGTGACAGCCTTGTACCCATTTTCATCTGAAAAGGACGTCTGGCTGCTCTGTCCTTTAGAACAACCTTGCGTCTGACAGCAGAGGAGCTTTTTTAATCAAGTGAATGGGCGTAAGACTCAGTGTAGGTGGAATAAATCATGTGCGATATATATATATCGTCTGCGATAATATCGTAATTGTTGTTTGAACGATGTGCGATTTGACATTATCGAGTGTTTAGCAAAACCCATTTAAAACACATCTACAGAGCGCACGCATACATTACATGAAGTCTGGACTAGTGCGCCTGCGCATTTAGAGTGCGTTCTTTCACTGCATGATTCAGTCTAGTAAAATGCTTTTAGAATGATCACAAATTCAAGACATGATGGCAGAAAATTTATATATTTTTACCACTTCATATAGTTAATAAATTTCACACGAAGAGTGCCGTTTTTCTCCAAAAAATGTTCCTGTGATATTGATTTGTTTTACAACAGTTCAATAAACAAGAATTAATTAAGAGACTTAGGTTTTAGACACCATATTTCCTGTTTCTGCGCTATTTCTACAACAAAAATAATTCCAAACACAGCCACAGCACAGTTTTGCGTCTCTGAGCAACATTATGCTGTTTCGTTCCTGAATGAATCAACCGTTTAAATGATTCGGTTCAATCGCAATGACTCACTTCTTAACAGTGACTTGCTGCCACCTACTGGCGGTTTTAATTTCACATTTAAAGTTTCTTTTATCATTTAAATAATTTCAAATATAAGTATTCAACGTTTTATGTTTAATATATCAAAACATTATTCATGCATTTGTAATCGCAAGTTAAAGGGGTCATATGATGTTGTTAAAAAGAACACTATTTTGTGTATTTGGTGTAATGAAATGTGTTTATGTGGTTTAAGGTTAAAAAAACACATTATTTTCCACATACTGTACATTATTGTTTCTCCTCTATGCCCCGCCTTTCTGAAACGTGTCGATTTTTACAAAGCTCATCGATCTGAAAAGCGAGGTGTGCTGTGATTGGCCAGCTATCCAGAGCGTTGTGATTGGCCGAATACCTCAAGCGTGTGACGGAAATGTTACAAAATATAAAAACTCTTTAAATATAAAAGACGAACTTACAGTCTTTGAGTCAGAACTGCCGGCATTGTAGTCTGTAAAAAAATGTCTTTTTAAAGGTAAGAATGCCCATAAAAGGTAAAAATCTATTTAAACTTGTTGGAAAAGATTAATTTCCGTCACTGCTGTGAACTGACCACCACACAGGTGGATAATTATCTTTCATGGAATACAAACACCATAAAAGTAGTCTATATGACAACATGTGCTGTATTACAAGTCTTCATACAAAAGCTTTAAGTGGGGAAAAGACTGAAATGTATCTTTTTTTTTTTTTATTGCAAATCTTCCACTGTAGCTTATAAATTGTATTAAATATGCCCATTGAGCAAAGTATGATCAATTATACACTATAGTCAAAGAAATTTGGCATCATGACATCAAACCTGGTGTTACGTGTCTTGAAATTTCATATCTGAATAAACAAAAACATGTGAGGATACAAAAGTTATACATAAGTTTCACACAAAGCCATATCTATGGTTTTTGTCATGTTTGGACATTTCTGGCAGTGTCCACAATTATTATAAGTTGCGTGGACACTTTGGAGAAATGTTTTTACCCATGTTCTGATATTGTTTCTTCTTGCAGCCCATTTTATGCTGCCTAAAAATGTCTCTTTTTTTCACATACGTTGCACTTTGTTCTCAGTGTCTGTTTCTTTATTATTGGGTTGAGACTTAAATCTTAAAACACATGTTTCTGGAGGAACTCGACTCAACTCAATTTTCTTCTCAAAACATTTGGCTTTTTCAGAGAATTACTCTACAGTAGTATTTATTAATGCATATTTTTTGGCTTATAAAGGATTAAAATATATGACCGTGGGCACATTTCTTTTAAAACCTTTTCTCAAATGTATGTTTCCATGTCCAGATAAAGGAGCTCAGAATGTGTGTCTCTCTCCTCTCCACTGGCAATATCTCTTGTTTGATGTTTGTCTGGAAAACAGGCCCCTGTCTAATCTGATCTACCTCCCCCCCTTCCTATTTCTTTCAAGCCGTCCGCTCTTGTCTGATCTCGGTTCTCATTGCTCTTACCGGTCAGCCAATGAGAAAGAACCTTTCTTTGCCGGTGCACAATGTCAGCACTATTCATGTGAGCCAGCGGAGGTCACACAGTAGATTAGCTTGAAATTGACCTGCAGTGGCATGTGGTCGATGCAGGATTGTGTAGCTGGTCTGTCCGTTTAACCAATCTTCTTGCTAATCTGTCATGAGTAAAAATGCTGAAAACATGCTGAGTGAAGGGAATAGAAAAGATAACAATTTTACCCCAAAAAAATTGCTGCTTGTAGTTAACATGTATTAAATGCAGATGCAAATTATTTCCATATGTTAGCAGCTATTCACCTTAGATTGTAAGGTGTACCGTTATTCTTACTTTTACAATGAGAATGAATTGGTTTGTTAAGGACTTCGGGGTAAGTAGATGGCCTGTAGTATCATTAGTTTGGGAAAGTTTTGAATCAGTTGTGCACAGTTAACAGCGGGTGTTGTACAGCTGTGGGTAGAAATGCAGAACCAACCATTCAAAAGAAGAAAACCTAAGACATTATTCTTCCTCATCTGGGATCAATTCTCACCAAACAGGAAGGTTAATCTTAATTCTGTTGCCCTCATGTGAACTACTTTCAGGTCAGTTAATGTTGCTGGAAGTCATTGATGTCACATTGAAACTGATTGGAAAGAAATCAATCTCCGACCAACAAGATAAGGGCTTTTGTACTTTGTACTTTTTATGTATATTGGGGTGGATGCTGAAACCTAAAATATGGAAGGACTGACATAATCTAAAAAGTAAACAGCAGAAGCATAAAATATTTGCAAAACATTTAGATCACAATTATATCTATATAGCTACATTTTCACAGTTTTATAGATATACTGTATTGTACATCTCTTAACCTTAAGAACATAACCACTCTTCAACCATATAAAAACCTTGAAAAATATACAGTGATAATGATTTGCTCCAATTCACCATTATATAGATACATACTATATAAAGTATATTCAGTATAAAGAAACATGACAGACATACAAGTGTAATAATCGCAATAATTTATTCTAGAAATTGTAGTACCAAAGTCGTCCAAAAAAATTACAATGTGTTGCATTCGAAGTGCTCTCTCACGAGAGGTACAGAGCAGAAATTAAGTTGTTAATTGTTGAAAATCAGCTGAAATATGGCAAGTCACATGAGAACCAAAAAGCATCTGATGACATAACAACATTGGTCATAACTAGGGTTGGGTACCGAAATCCGACATACCGGTTTTATTACATACCGGTTACCGATACCTATGTAACCGGTATGTAATAAAACCGAATCCGAATGCAGATTTCGATGCCTCATTTCGGTGCCATGCCTGAGCGATCGATTGAAATATTTGTCCTCTGGTTCTCCGAAACGGATGTAAGCATCATCATCACCGGCACCGCACGTGAAATATAATTCCCCGACTGAGAAAATGCACGTGAACTCAAGTCGGAAAGCTCTAATAATACAAATCCAACAAAGCTTTGTAGTAACGAGAGTGTCCATGTTGTTTTCACATTCGACTTAAAAGCACAACTCGGGAAATGAGAGCACCGAGGAGCGCGTGAATGCAGTAATTACACTTGCTCTGATGGCAGCTTAGTCTTCCGTTAACTAAGCTAAACATGCTTAGATTAAAACTTGTATTCACATTTCTAAACCTGTTGTCCAGCAAAAGAGAACATTATAACCTTTTAACTCCACAACACCAGTCAGATGCTTCCTTTTGTGATCTGATGTGGCTTCTTGTCACAGAATGAGGCAGAAGATATTTTCCATAGGCTACTTTAAAAAGAAGACATCGATTAGCAATGGATTATAAATAT